TCCTTCTGATTCTGACAACAAGTTTGAATCATTCCCAACCACTGCAACTCACATTGCATGTTTCAAGGTATACAAATTGCTTTTCTTGTGACATTCCTGTGAGACTAGGTAGTGCAAATATTATTCTCCTCATTTTGTAGATGAAGAAATTGAGGCTCTAAGATGTTAATTATCTTGCATTATGGTCACAGAGCTAGTATCTGAAGTGGGTTTTAAATTTCACTCTTCTGACTCCAAGTCCAATGTTCTTTTCATTAGAGTATTTTGAAATGGCCTCTGCTCCTCACCTTTGAGAATATTTGAAGATACAGAGAATTTTTATAAGGATAATGGTCACCACTACAGTGTTTTATTGTGTATAGGGTGCCATAGGAATGTATATAAATGTATGGTCCTTGCCAAGACAGGCGACAGGGAGAAAATTTTCTGCTTTTGTCTAAGAATGCCAGCCCAAAAATATGACTGGCAGAAAGTAAAGGAAAACTAAATCTCCAGTTCCTCTCTGCTGTCTCTGTTTATGATTTTCCTCCCCAAGTGACTGTTAAACTAATACAAGAAGTTCCTATCTTACAAACAAGTTCATCTGCAAATGAGGTGTTAGGCATTTAGAACACGTTTTCCAATAGAAACCATGTTACAAATATTAATTGATTTCACAGACTATCCTTTCAAATGCTAATTCACTTTGCTGCTGAAATAATGTATACTTGAAGAGAAAAAATAGTAGAAAAAAGACTTCTGAGACTTTAATAGAATCTTTAAAACAAGGCATTTTAGGGCTTTGAATTCATCTGCTTCCCATTTTGCATTTCACAAATGAGAAAACTGAGACCATGACAAGTTTAGGGACTTGCCCAAGGTCACACAGCTAGGTAGTAATAGAGCCTACATTTTGAGCTTCTTGAGGGCAAGAACCATGTTTCATTCATTTTTGTATCTCCATTACTAAAAAGCATGCTGCCAATTATAGTTTATATGTGGCTTTATATTTAAATTATCATCTTAATAGTGCTGGAGGAATATGACATGCATGTTAAATTAGAGAAGGATACATGGAGTTGGAAATTTTCGATGAGTGACTTCACAGCACTTTCAAGGAGTTAAAAGTCTGATTACACCAGTATTTAATTTTTATTTCACTTAAAAACCTAATGTTTTCTTTTTTTATTGTAAAGTTGATTCACTAACAAATGCTTATGCCTGTCACCTATGATTAAGGTTTTTTTCCTCCAACAAGTGAATTGAAGATAGAGAAGTGGGGGTGACAGAGATTTCTCTTGAAGTAATTGGATAAGATTTTGAAGAGAAAAGAAGGAGGAAGGAGGTTAAAAAGTTTGGAATGTACTGGGTGGGAAAGGATTGCCTAGAGTGAAATCAATTGATAATTAAAAACAAAATAAGAGTGAGAATCTCCTGAAAGGGGAGAAATGGGAAGAAATGGGAAGGTGCATTAGGTTAGGTAGGACGTCAGATATGAGTAGAACTTCCTGCTCTAGTCATCAAGTAGTGGGATCAGCCTTGATTACTTCCTGTCTAAAGTAAAGTAGGGATTGAAGGGCATCTCTGGCATATTGGGTGGGGGTGAAGTATGGTCTGAGAAGTAATGTGAAACCCCAATAATTTATATGTATGAGATAGTTAAATTCAGGTTTTTGCATCTAGTATCCATACTATTGTTTAAACCCTCAAATAGTTGGAGGACCAGGTGAGGTAGGCTCCTACTATTAGTTCTTCTGGCACAGTCTATCTAAAAAAAATACATACATACATATTCATATATATATATATCTTTCTAGTCTGTTTTTACATTTAAGTCTTAGGAATTATAAATGGGTTAGTGATGAAGCAGAATAGGTCCTCATTTTTCTTTTTAAGTTCCTTTTGATGCCTGTGCTTTTACTAGTTTGAAAGCCAAAATTTGAAAAACATGTTATGGTAAAGCCCTGTCTTAAAATATTTCTTGAGTCTTTTTTTTCAGTTGTGTCCAACTCTTCAGAACCCTATTTGGTGTTTTCTTGATCAACATATTGGAATGGTTTTCCTTCTCCAGCTCATTTTATAGATAAGGAAACTGAGACAAACAGGGTTAAGTGACTTATCCAGGATCACATAGTTAGTAAGTATCAGAGGTCAGATTTGAACTCAGGAAGGTAAGTCTTCCTGACTTCAGACCTGGCACTGTATCTACTGTGCCACTTAGCTGCCAAAATATTTCTTGCCTTTATTGTAGTTCTGTTTTTGAAAACATTAATGTGATGTGATTCTGAGGTCAATGCCAAAGCTGTCTTACAGGGTAGCTCAATTTAAATTTTGTCTTTAGTCTCCTTTGTGGTGACTGTGAACTTTTGACCATCATGGAAGTGAGGTGGAGGGAGATCTTGGAGGGAATTCTGGTGGCATGGGACCCAAGTCCACTAGAGTCCAGTTTGGCTTTTTAAAAGCCTGCCCTTTCCCAGGAGAGGAGTATAGAGGAACCTTTGGGCTACTGACACTCAGGTTCCAGGTACTCTTTGATTCAGTGACACTGACTTCCTGGCTATTTCAGGAGCTACACATTCCATCTCTAGGATCTGGGTATTTCCTTTCTTGGAATGCTCTCCTTCATGGCTCCCCTGCCTTCCTTGAAATTCCAACTAAAATCCCATTTTCGACAGGAAGCCTTTACCAATCCCTCTTAATTCTGGAGCCTTCCTTCTGTTCATTATTTTCTAATTATCCTGGATATAGTTTGTTTGTACATATTTGTTTGTTCTGTTTCTCTCCCATTAGATTGTGAACTCCCCAAGAGCAGGGACTGTCTTTTGCTTCTGTTTAGATCCCTAGCACTTAGCACAATGCCTAACACACAGCAGGCACTTAATACATGCTTCTTGATTGAATTGATGACATACTATCAGAGAATCAGTATTTCTCCTTAGTCTGTGTGCATCATCATTTGTTCTTCACTTGGTCTGACTTATGCAGATACATTTAAGTGAATAATGTTTATTAATTTCTTCTCTAACCTGTTGGGATAATTTCTATATTTATCTGAAGAGTGAAGCAATATGTAACTCAAAGGTATTTTGATCACACTGTTCCCTCTGCCTGCAATGCTCCCCCTACTATACCTATTTAATTCCTACCCATATATTTTCTAAAGCTTCCATGATACATTATGGTAGATTATAGTTAGTGATGTATGTGCCATAGGTTCAAAAGATGTAGACTGGGAAGGGCTCTTAGAAGTCATCTGGTAAATGGCATTACTTACAAATGAGGAAATTGGGACCCACAAAGACTGAGTGATTTGTTCACGGTCACACAGATATTAAACATCAGATGTTAGAGTTCTACCTGACCCTCTGATTACAAAACCAAGATACTTTTTCCCATACCATGAAAACTCATACTAGACTATAAGGTTCCATGAAAGCAAACCCCCCTCTTATTTTATCGGTGTATCTCTCAAAGTGCCCTGTTCATAGTGAGAACTTAATAAATATTTATTGAATTGAGTTCTGCAAATAGCTTTCCAATTTTTTTTGCTGCAACTGAGTATTTGTAAGAAACCGTCCTCTTTGCCTCCTAAGATTTTATATTTCATCTTTATTCCAAATTCAAAGTATCCGACCATCAAAGAATCAATATTTCCCCTTAGTCTGTGAATCATTACTTGTGCTTCCCTCGTTAAAAGATACCTCATTGTAGGTGACAAGTCTTTCTTACATGAGGTCATCAATCAGAAAAGTCGCAAATTTATCAGGCCAAAGTCCATCCGGACTTGCAGAGCAATTCTTGGTTGATAGTATTGGTGTTTTAACAACGAATTACACAGAATGAAATTTATGTGCTGTGGAACTACCTCAAGCACAAGATATGTGATTCTGCCCCTGCCCTTTCATGCATTAAGAAAATGTAGCATGATTGATTTCATATCTGTACAAAATGTAGACCAGATCAAAGTGTACTTTGTTGTTGTTTAGTCATTTTTCAGTTGTGTCCTATTCTTTGTGATCCTTTTTGGAGTTTTCTTGGCAAAGATGCTGGAGTGGTTTGTAATTTCCTTCTCCAGCTCCTTTTATAAATGAGGAAACTGAGGCAAATGAGGATAAGTGACTTGCCCAGGGTCACACAGCTAGTAAGTGTCTGAGGCCAGTTTGAACTCATGACTTCCTGACTCCAAGGCTGGTACTCTATCCACTGCACCATCTAGCTGTTCTAATAAAGTGTACATAAATAAATCAATAGAAAAAAATAGTCCAGTTAAAGTTAGATTTGTTCTTCTATGTCTATAACATTCTTTATATGCTGCTAAGAACATTTTATGGAGATTCACAAAAATTAAAGTTAGAACAATAAATTTGATCTTGAGTTCATGTGTGCGTAGGAGGGGGAGCACATACATTTATATAGAAGAAAATAAATTTAGAGACATGATTCTACCAAAAAGAAAACACAGGAAAAGAGACCCAAACATTGTGTTTATGTTCAGTGATTTTTGTGTTGTTCACATTAAAAGTCAAACTAATAATTACATTGTGAATTTTTCATAGCCTAAATAGCAGTGAACAATGATTGAGATAGTTAAATAAATCCCTTTCTTTTACCATGAGAGAAATAACTACATAAATCTTTAGGATCACATTACATTCAAATTCAACTTGACTGATTTTTGAATGAGAAATACCACTTTAAAAGCAAATTCTTTCATCCTAGAGAATATATAAACAGCCAAAAGAACAGGAAAGGAAAAATGTATTGTCTCAATGCATGCTTGAATGAATAAATCTTTTGCAGATTACTAATAGTCAATAACATTATTTGGAAGATTTAGAGGTAATCTGGTTTGCATTAAACATATTTACACTTTAAAATGCCTCATGAATTAAGTAAAGTTTTACTACAAACAGATGCTAAGGAATATGAAAATATAGAGTGATTTTGTAAGAAGATAATTATTATCTTTAGAGTTTAATTGGCCAGGTTTTCAGGGGAAAAAAATGTCTTCTTTCTTCCAGAGAGCACAGACGGACGAATTGGAAAAAATTGAAAAGCATGGCAGATCATGCAAAGAAAAAGAAAATGCCAAGTCTTTGGACAAACCTGAACAGTAAGCATGCCTCTTATAGCCAAAGAGGAATCATCCAGGAGATGTGTGGGCTATTTCCATTAGGAAAGTACATCTTAAGTACATAATTGCTAGGAATGATATAAGGCTAAACATCTGTTTATGTGAATTATATTTTCCCTCTTCATTTGACTCTCTTGCTTCAGGTTCCTTTATGAACTATCACTAATACCCAACTTTTCAGAGCGAGTCTTTTGCATCCTGTTCCAGTCAACATTTTCAGAAAGCATTTGCTCGATTCGTCGCAAACTTGAACTACTCCAGAAGTTGTGTGAGGTGGGTTCTGGTCCATAGAAAGCTAGGGCTAGATCTCTGATATTTAATCTCACTCAGTCACGTTCATATTTCAAAAGTTTTCTTCTTATTTACTTAAAGTCCTCATTAAATATGAAGGATCGCAGTCCTGCCGAATGGAACATTTTATGATGGTGCTTCCAGATCAAAGCACATGTTCAGATTGGCTTTTAGGGCTTCACTGCAGCATCATAAGATTCCTGCCAATGCACATCAGCCTCTAGAGAATACTGTGCCTTCTGCTGCTGCCAAAGCAAAATCTTCACTTTGTAGAGGCTTTCATACATCCGACATCCAAATGAATGCCATTTGAGAGCATTCTGTTTGCATTCTTTGATTTTTGGAAGGGACTGCTCAACAAATTGCTAATAATTAGTCCATCCCAATGATCTGGAGACAACAGCATAGCTGAATTTTGATGCTAAAATGCCTCCTTGAAGTTAGAGCATTAATACTCTGCATAAATTGTTAGTATCAAAAATTTTTAAAGGCTGTTCATTAGTATAGGGGCCACAATACCATTCTTTCTTCTATTAGTAAAGCATTTTGAAAAAACTTGATGACCTGGGTATAAGTAATGCAAAGTTAAGCCTAACGTAGAGCTTTGGAAGAAACAAGTGTGAAACATTTAGGGTAAATTATAAAATGCATTTCTTTACATCAACATTTTTAGTGTTAGTTTTGATGCCAGATTACTTGGGTTGCTAAGAAGGTATGTGAAATTAGAATAGTTACAAAAACTTCTCTTGAAATAGTTGTTGTTTCACAATTCTCCCTTTTCTAGCCCTCTTTAGTTTAGCAAAGAATAGGAGACATGGCATAAGGTACTTGCTCACTGTCTCTCAACCACCCCTTTTGGCTCATGTGTGAAATGTATGTTAGAATGTGTTGATATAGTTGGTGTGGGTTTTTTTTTTCTTTTCTGTGCTTATGTAGTTGATTTAAGGGGTTTTTTTTCTTTGTGTGTATGTGTATATAAATGTAACTTCCATGTCTTTTGTGACTTTCTTAACATGCATTTTAGATGTTTTCTAATAAACTACAACTTGTAAGTAGGAATAATGACAAATGGATATGACCTAAAACGTTAGTAAATATATTGGAAGCTTGGCATATTATGTGATAACAACTCTTGTAAAATTGATAAATGTTATACAAAATTTTAATTAAGAAAAATTGTTCTTTATCCTATTTTGCAGACATTGAAAAATGGGTCAGGGGTTATGCAGGTTCTAGGTCTGGTTCTTGCCTTTGGTAATTACATGAATGGTGGGAACAAGACTCGGGGACAGGCAGATGGTTTTGGATTAGACATTCTTCCAAAGCTGAAAGATGTCAAAAGCAGTGTAAGTATTTTTATGACTGACTGTAGGATCACTAGAAGATGAGATTATTTTGTTAGTAATAAGGAGTTTCATTATTTGTCCTTTGTAATAATTGTTTCTTTATACCTTGATGCCAAACTATATCTAAGTAAAAGAAATGTTCATTTTTGTGTGTATGTGTTTTGAGTATTAGAATGTTTTCTTAAATGAATAACCATTAATCCTATGTCTTCTTGATGACTATGACTTCAGCTAGAACTACGTATTTCTTTCTTGATTTCTTGCCCAATTCTGTATATGCCAAAGACCATCTGCCCTATGGCAAATTTTTCTAAATCATATCTGAAGGACCTTTACTTTTTCTAGGATAAAATAGCATATAGTTATTTTTTTCCTATTTAAATTAATTATTTAGATGCTAACCAGTGGAGACCAATAGGTTCAAGTCCTTAAAAAAATTAGGAGGAGTCTAACACAAATTACTCTAAAAGAAGTGAAATATTTAATTAAAGTAGAGAATAGAGCTAGCCACAACAGTATAATTATCTCTTCCTGATGCTCAGAATAGATGATCTGTCTGATGTTTCTAGTTCAAAATCTTCTGAATCCTTAAGTCTAATCACTGTCATTGCATGTGTGATACTACTAAGAAAAGAAAATGGTAAAAGAGATTAAAAATTTTAAATAGCAAACATTTAGGTATGAATATTTTAGGAATCTACCTACATGTATGTATTTGCGGTGGTGCTAATGGAGAGGAAACTATGAAGCATTAGAAAAACTATCAAAAATTGGAATCAAGATTATGTATAACAATATTTATTCCTATTATTTTCCACTGAAAAGTTGTTGACTTTTTGCTAAAAGTAGCACATGTCTAAACTTTTTCCAATTAGTTACTGAATAATCAACTACATATGATTTTTATTTTCAATAGAGTTCAACCTATAAAGCCTACTACATTTGTAGCCTGTACATTTTCATTGTAACTTCTGATATAGAAATAATTTGATATTATTTACCAATAGAAGTACAGTTTTAAACACATAGATTATTAGGGACATTTTTAAAAAGGGAGCATGCTTTTCCATTTACTATATCCCTATTGAATTGAATGGAAATATTATTTCCAAATGATTTAGAACCTATAAATAATACCAGATTAGACATCTGCTAATTTTTAATATGGAACCTTAAGCAGATTCTTGAGCAGGTTATGAAGATAATAAGAGAATATCTTCCGTTTTCATTCTATTTAAGGATCATGTTTTAGTAAGTTCCCCAGAGGCAGATCCCATTGATTCAAATCAAAATATGGTCTAGATTGAGAAATTGACATTCAGTCATGAAATAAGAAGTAATTTACCTTTTTGTATGGCCCAACATAAGTGACAAAATTATTCTGGTGTCCTTGCTAAGTTAGAAATAATTGTGTTTATTCCTGGACTTTTTTTATATCTCCTTAGAGAAAATTAGAATACTGTAATTACTTTTACTACTGCCATTTATAGATTACTTTTATGAAGCACTTTAAGGTTTACAAAGTATTTTACTTATATAGGGTATCCCAAAAGTCAGTGCAGTGTTACATTATCAAATATACTTTAAGTTATAAAGCTATTAAAGATAGCTATTTGTGTGACCCTAGGAATGCCACTTAGCCTTCTTGATCCTGGGATTCTTCATGAAATGGGGATAATAATATACCACATGGTATTGTTCTGAGGATTATATGAGATTACCACAAGGTGTCCCAAAAGTCTTAGTGTGGTTTTAAGTTATTAAAGGTTAAAACTGCAATAGGACTATTGGACACATTGTGTAATCTCATATAATTGATGCTTAAAAACAAGTTTTAAACTGTTAAAGCTTAAAAATGCACTAAGATTATTGGGATACCTTGCCTCATATAATCCCCAGAACAATGTTATGTGGTGTATTATTATCCCCATTTCATGCAGAATCCCAGGCTCAGAAAGGCTAAGTGACATTCCTAGGGTCACAAAGCTAGCAAGTATATGAGATAACATTTGAATCTGAGCCTTCCTAATTCTAAAACACTATCACAGGATTATGCAGATTACTGTGAACAACAAACCTCTGGTCAATATGTTATTGACTGGTTTCAACCTAATTAACAGGTTCATGTTAATAGAGTTAATAGAACCACAAATCAAAAATGATAAGTGAAAGCCACTGAGATCACTGGAAAGCAAATCCTATTTTAGGTTGAGAAATCTAGGTTAGGAAATCATATTTAAAGTAGTGGGGGAGAGGTATGAAGAGGGAAGAATAATATTTAAAACAAAAATAAAAATAAACCTATATCCATGGGCTAAAATCATAACAAACTGAAAATCCAGAAGCACGTGCCGCTTATCTTGGGGGATTTAGTTTAAAGTAGGTAAAGTCTAAATGTCATTCGCAATATTTCTGTCACATGATTTTGATTCAAATGTGATAGCAATAATGAGCAATGCATACAATTTCTACAGCCAGATCAATCCCTATATGAATATGACACAAAAATAAAGAAGTAGCCTCTTAAGCATGAGATTTTGCATATTCTGCAGAACCCGTAATACATTATTCATTATGCTATATGTACAAATTCAAAAAAAGTCTGCCAGACCTGATGGTTTATGTAATAATTCATTATCTAAAATGATTGCTATAAAGCCCAAGTGATTTTTAAATCATTTTATTCTTTTTTGTGGGTGGGGGTTCATTTATGATTTCTCTTATCTGTGAACTGAGTCACAAGTCCAGAGGTAATTATATAGTTTGTATAACCGGACATAGGGTGCTGTCAATTCTAAATTCTTTCAAATAAAACAAAGTCATACATTTCAATATTAAAAATAGCTTACCTTTAAGGAATATTAAGTTATGTGTGTGACTCAGGAAATAAATAAAACAAACAAAAACAGAAGAATTCTTATAGTTGAAATACCACTTTTAACCAGTTCTGATACTGGTCTGATTAAAGGAGGAATGATGTTAAGTAGATGATCTTTCCTGAAGCAGTTAAACCTCTTAGGTATAGGAAGACAATTTGTCTTATAAAATTTCACTTTTCATTTAAAATGTCATCATATATAGGTTGTTGTCTAGAATTTTTTAAAAATTCTAGTAGTGAGTGAAATTTAAACCACCTTTACTCACTTTGATCTTTCTGCCTAGGACAATAGCCGGAGTCTTCTGTCATATATCGTTTCATATTATCTTCGAAATTTCGATCAGGTGAGTGACTGTAATTTCTATGTACCCAGCTAAATTTACTCTGACTCAACATGAATTGAGTGATTTCATGATGTGTATGTTTGTTTGTTTCTTCTATGACTGTGGATAGTCATTCTTTCAAAAAACCTTTTCCTCCCCCCACCTTGTTTGTCAGGATGCTGGAAAAGAACAATGTGTTTTTCCACTGCCAGAACCCCAGGACCTTTTTCAGGCCTCCCAGATGAAGTTTGAAGACTTTCAGAAAGACCTTCGAAAGCTGAAGAAAGATTTGCGAGGTAACAAGATACAATACAGTATGATAATCCATCTATATATTTTCACCATGCTGATGGACAAAGGAGACCTTTTTAATGTGGTGTGGAAAATATATTAATTTTTGGGTAGCCTTTGCCTTGGGTAGTTTAACTAGTGCTTCTGTGACCAAAAAAAAAAAACTATTATGCTTACTCTTTCCTGTGTCTAACACCAAACCAAACAAATCTAGGTATTCAGCAAAGTACTTCTTTTTTCAATTAATTTATTTTGATTTATCAAAAATCTCTTCCATAGACTTTTGAGTTTTAAATTTTTCTCCATTTCCCTCCCCCCTCTCTCCCCAAGATGGCTTGAAATCTGATATAGGCTATACATATACATTCCCATTAAACATATTTTCACGTTATTGATGTTGAAGGAAGAATTAGAACTAATAGGAGGAATCATCAGAAAGAGGAAACAAAACAAAATAGAAGAAAAAAATAGCAAATAGTATGCCTCGATCTGCATTCAAACTCCATAGTTCTTTCTTTGGATGTGGATAGCATTTTCTACCATGAGACCTTTGGTGATGTCTTAGATCCTTGCATTGCTGAGAAGGGCTATCAATTTTATCAAAGTCTATCAATTTTAGTCATTGCACAATGTGGCTGGTACTGTGTACAATGTTCTCCTGGTTCTGCTCACTTCACTCACTTTCCAGGTTTTTTTGAATTCTGCTTGCTCATCATTTCTTATAGCACAATACTATTCCATTACATTCATATACCATAACTTGTTCAGTCATTCCCCAATTGATGGGTATTCCCTCAATTTCTAATTCTTTGCCACCACAAAAAGAGCCTACTATAAATATTTTTGTACATGTGGTTCCTTTTCCCATTTGTATGATCTCTTTGGGATACAGCCTTAGAAGTGCTATTGCTGGGTCAAGGGGGATGTACATTTTATAGCCCTTTGGGCATAGTTCTAAATTGTTCTCCAAAATGGTTGGATCATTTCACAACTCCACCAGCAATGCATTAGTGTTCCAATTTTCCCACATCTTCTTCAGCATTTATCATTTTCCTGTTTCATCATGTTGGCCAATCTGATAGGTGTGATGTGGTACCTCAGAGTTGTTTTGATTTGCATTTGTCTACCTAACCTATTCCACTGATCCACCACTCTATTTCTTAGCCAGTACCAAGTAGTTTTGATGATTGCTGCTTTATAATGCAATTTAAGAACTGGAACAGCTAGGCCACCTTCCCCTGCATTTCTTTTCATTAGTTCCCTTGATATTCTGGACCTTTTGTTATTCCAAATGAATCTTGTTATTATTTTTTCTAGCTCTATAAAATAATTTTTGGTAGTTTGATTGGCATGGCACTGAATAAGTAAATTAATTTAGGTAGAATTGTCATTTTTATTATATTAGCTCAGACTACCCATGAGCACCTGATGTTTTTCCAATTATTTAGATCTAACTTTATTTGTGTGGAAAGTCAGCAAACTACTTCTTGAATCTAATATGGAATATATGGATGGGATTACATTTCTTCAGTATTTCTTACAGTCTTATTTTCAGTGATGTGATCAACAGTATGCCACATTTCTTTGGGATTTTGCATTATATTTCTTCTTATAAATCTTATAAACATTATCTCTCTCCTAACTCCCCGCATTTGTGACTTCTGAATTATATCACTTTTTATGGAATCAAATTCTCTCCTTTATTCATTCAATCAAAAAAAGTCATACGTGAGTGATGCACTGTTACACATATACCCAGCAGGTTATTGGCCATCTAGGCTATTACTGTCATTTTAAAAGGAAAGAGTTGGAAGTTTTATACATTTCTCCCAAAGAACTTTTTGAATTAAAAGTAGCATTCAGACAAAATCAAATACTACCAGCAGAGGTTCTTGCCAAGAGTTTTGGTGTCTGTTCAACTGATGCAAGCCTCTTTAACCTATTTATTTTCTGAGAACATCTCTGCTATCTTAAGCTTTGATCTAACTGCATCAAGCACAGATCTAGATGGAGCAGATCCTTTATTATTAGCAGTGCCATATCTCAATACATATAGATAGAAGGGCTAGATATTAAGCTGACAACAAGACAAAAAAGATGGTGGAAAACTTTTTTTAAAGAATTGTTACATTAAAAAACTGAGAGATATACATAGATCAGGGATTTAAATATTCAGCATAATGATCATCACTTATTCTGATTAAGATTCTCCTATAGATGGACAGTGCCTAAAATAATGCCTTGCTCATCTCATACTAGTCTTTATTTCTTGACAATCTGCAACCAAAATGTAAAGCTATTGTATAAACTGAGTAAATGTCTCTCCTTAGAGAAAATAATAGTCATTCATTGTTTTTCCCTAAAGAAACCTTCAAAAACCAAAATAAAGCAGTCAACTCAAATAATATTTCTGGACATTCTAGGGGAAAAACATATTTCCTTTTATGGTGCTTTTAGGTCTTTGAAATTATGTAGACATTACTGAAGTGTTCCTGGAATCATAATGAAGCATCATGATTTCAATACTGAGCCAGATTTGAATTCACAATTCAAATATCAGGAGCAGGGTTTCAAAGCTATAGTTACAGATGATTTGTTAGAAGAGCTGTATGTTTATCTCAATATCAAATAATCTAATATGCTGTTTTCAGGGTAGATATTGTTCCCATTCTTTCTTTTTCTATTAAATCAGTTACACATAAACTACCGTACTCTGAACGTCCCTTCCCCCCATTAAATTTTCATAAACTGAAATATTTCAAGAATAAGTCATTGTATTAATGTAGGTATTCAGATTTGATTCAATAGACACATTAAGTGTTCACTGTGTTTTAAGCATTCTGCTAGATGCAACATATACAAAGACCAAAAACAAAAACATATTCCCTGCTCCCAAAGATATGTCAATGTTTCAATATAAGCATAATAATAATTGTTAACATTTACATGGTGCCTTAAAGTTTGAAAAACACTTTACAAATATCTCATTTGTTCCTCCCAACAACTCTAGAAGGTAGTTGCTATTTATTATTAGCTCCTTTTTACAGATAAGGAAATGGAGGCAGGCCTGATTAAAGGATTTGTCAAGGGTCACATAGTAAGTGTTTAAGTCAGGATTTGAACTCAGGTTGTCTTCATTCCAGGTACAGTTCTCTATACATTGCTTCATCTAGCTGTGTCAAACTATGGAGGATTTATAAACAAACACATAAATGCACAATAATTTGAGGAAAGGGGATACATTAACAATTGGAAGGACCAGCTACCATTCTGGGACAAGCCCTTTTTACCTCTCTCTCTCCCCTGGACTATTAAAAAAGCTTTTCATTACTTTCCCTTCATTTGACTTAGGGATTTTCCTAGATTGTGAGTCTGATCATGTCACTCTAATGCCTCGGTAAGCTGTAGTGGATCCCTCATGGTTCCAAGACTAAGAATGAATGAATTAATTAATTAAAAAAATAAAACTTTTTGGTACTTAAGTCTCTTCACTACTTGGCCCCTTCCTAACTTTTCTCTTCACCTCACACTTCTTTTTCCTCCATATACTCTATAATTCAGTGATATTTGCTTTACTTGTTTCTCAGACGCAACATTGCTTCTGTGTGCCTTTGCCCCCATGCCTGGAATTCTCTCTTTCCTTATCTCCACCTCCTGGATGCCCTGGCTTATGTCATGTCTCAGGGAAAGATCTAGAAGAATCCTTTCCTGATCCTCTTAATGCTAGTGCTTTCCTTCTGTTGATTATCTCCAATTTATTCTACATCTGTCTTGTTTGTACATAGTTGTTTACATATAGTTTCCCCCTTTAGACTGTGAGCTCCTTGAGAGTAGTGACTACTTTTGCCATTCTTTGTATCCTCAGAGCTTAGCACAGTGCTTGGCCTGTGGTAGGTCCTTAATAAATTCTTGTTGAGTTGACTTCCACTCTAAAATGACTGGACTTCTATTCTGTGGTCCCTAGGTTTCTCCAATAGACCGTGTGCTGCTCAAAGGTAGTGACTGTACCTTTTTTTTTTTTATCCGCAGTGCTTAGCACAGGGTCAGGCACATCACGAACACTTAATGAATGTTTTTGGATTGGTCTGGAAAAGCTTCCTATAAGACTTTGTGCATGAACTGCTCTTTAAATCAAGCCAAGGATTCTTAGAAGTAGAACTGAAGAAGCACATCCAGACATGAGGGTGAGCCTATGGAAAGGCAGAAAAATGAGAAATGAGATTGTGATATGGGGGAATATGAAGTGTCCCAGTTTAGGTGTCCCAGACAACAATTTTATAGATTAGAAGAGGCATAAGTTACTGAAGCAGGAAAAAAAAATCATCATTAGGCTAATTCTCTTAAACTTAAACTACTACTTAAAAGTGAAAAATCCAATCCATTTCCAGACCTATACTTGAAACTCTTTTAGTTTAGTAGAATCTGCCAGAGTTATGAACCATTCACAGAATCGTCAGTCATCCTCATGACAAAATGAGACACTAATGAGACTTTGGTAGAGAAACTATACGTGTGTGTGCAAGAACACCAGCATTTATTAAATACCTACTATGTGCCAGGCACTCTGTTAAGCACTTTACAAACATCATCTCATGTAACTTCACAACAACCCTGCAAAATAGGAGCTATTATTAGCCCATTTTACAGTTGAGCAAAAAGGCAGATAGAGGTCAAGTGACTTGCCCAGGGCCACATAGTAAGTGCCTGAGGCCAGATTTTAATCCAGATTTTCCTGACTCAAGGCCTACTAGTCCTCCATCCATTGCCTCTACTCTGTCTCTAAATGCTTTTTGTGTTGCCATGAAGGTAAGAAAGAGGTCACAGAACATTAGATTAAAATATCGCAGGAAGATCTCGTAGAAATGTGAAGGTAAGCTCTAAGATTCAACAGAAATGTTTTACTCAACAAGCATTTATTAAGAGATTCCCCTCTGCCAGACACTTTGCTAAATACTGGATGTTTGCTAGAGATAGTACGGCTTCAATCTGTCTATGTGGCCTTATT